TAGGAAACAAAACTTCAAGACCACGGCCACACAGCCCGGAAGACCCACACCAGCCATAGCACTTTTCTTTCTTCCACAATATGAATGGCTGCCTGCCATTTGTTCTATGTAAAAAAAAAAAAATGAAGCCCTATGCTGCAAAGCATGTATATTTAGCACAAATCTTACCCTACATCCATGACGTTAAGTAGCCAGATCATACAGAGAGTTATAGTGTATATGTGGTACATAAATGGTACTTTATTGTCCTAACTGTGATGGGGGCTAACAGTACATAAAATCTAGGCATGTATCTTAGAATCTGTGTCCATGCTGACATTTTTCAATCAGAATTTAATCAATTTTTTCAAACTGCATCTTGCCACTCAATCCTGTTTACGAAAGAAGAAGGATAAGAAAGAAGAGCCATGCTTCTTGTTAGCTGTCACAATCTACATACCCCTATGTTTAGGCCACATTAAATTAAGAAATCCCAGGGGAATGCAATGCTATAAAATTTGGCTTTTTGTTACCGATGGAAGGTTGTCCTATGGCTCTTTAAAGAAACCGAATACTAGTTGCTGGCACCAATTTTTGGATAGCTCCTTGTTTAATTTCTAAAGCATACAGTTTTAAGTAACCATAGAATTACATTCCTAACTATCTTATAATTGAATCTGATGCCAGTAAGTGTCCTAATTATTCAGAATCTAAATAAAAAATGCTGGATATATTTTCAAGTAATTAATTCTTTCTTATTGGAAGAAACTCATATACTCCAAGTATACATGAAAAAAACAGTATATAGGCATACACACATTATCTCTCATCACCAAAAGAAAACCATCCAGTCTCTTACGTTACTGCAAGACAGCAACCCTTAATGGACCTTGGTGGATCTTGAAAAACTAAGTAAAATTGAACTTAGTTAATACCTGGATGGGATACTACCAGGAAATTCTAGAGATTGCAAAATTGGAAAAAAATCCTTGAGTTACAGTAAATACAACAGTAACTTATTTTCAAACAATTGCTTAAAAAGTCTTGAGAATATATCCATGAAATCATCAGGAGTCAATCTGGAGTCAATTACCACATGCCACTAGAATGAGCAAGCAAACTATAAATTGTAAACAGAACTCTTAAGACATTAAAGCATATTTCAGCTTTCATTTTCACAAACTCTGCACCTGTAATTTTAATAAAAGGCTGGAGATAAGTTCTGCAAATCCCTTTTAAAGCTGTGCTTACAGTATAATATCTGCTTCAAAAAAGCGGATAGAAAGCCATAGCACATAATACCTAAAATTAAAGATTCCACATGTCAAAGAAAAAAAAATGCATATATGCATCTTGAAATTAAAGTTTCAAGTCATAATAGCAATGATATCTTATTCTTACCTATATCGATGTTTGTAACCAAGAGATCCAAGTTTGCCAAGTTTTCTTGATAGAGAATTAGATTCATTTTCTGGCATTCTGTTTCAATTTAAAACACACAATACATTTGTCCTTATAGGGCTACTCACAAATAAAAGAGAATATAGACTGCATGTATTCTCCTCTTTAGCATTACCTAGGGCTCATGTCCTCAGAACGAGCCCTCCCTCTTGTCACCAACTTCCTACAAGCTGAAACCAGTCTGCTTTGGAAGTTCAACTATTTCAGAAGAACACCTCCCATGAGATTGTTGGTGATCTGGTGGGCTCCCGTTGGCCCACTGCAAACTGCCCCTTTCCATCCTCCTGGCAGGCTCTGCACCTCCATGGCTATTTTTACTGTGGCTACCAGAGGGACCAACAGCCCCCCCCATCCCCTCCCAATCATAATCAAGGGCCAATTTTCACTGTAGTACTTTTCTTCTTTGGGAGCTGGAAATCACAGAGTTTTTTTAAAAGTTCTGTCGATACAAATATTAACTTTTAAAACACCACCAATTTCCAGCCCCCAGGAGAAATGTTAAAAGGCTGTGGTTTGGAATACTGAACGTCTGGTACTTTGAGAAAGGGACAAAGGTTGGTGGATAACTTGAAGATTGGGGAGGGGGAAATCTTTGGAGGTAATATTTTTTGAGGGTAGCCCAAAGAAACCTCAAAGTCATTTTCCTCTTAAGAGAACAGTCCCTTGGGCATTGCTCTTTGTTTCCTATCACCAGCAAGCCTTACTCTGAAGTAAGGAACTAACTGCAAGCTCAGTTATAGGTAATGGCAGCGTATCTTGGCAGTGTATCTCCATAGTGTACCTTGGCAGTCTATCTCCATAGAGATGGCTCCTGGGTTTCCTGGGCCAGAACTGAGACCACACTGCCTGTGTTTTTCTTCAGAACTGAATCAGTACTCCCCCGCTAGCTGCTTCTGTTCTATATTCCAGATTTGGGGTGGGTGGGCTTGGAGTCACGTATCTCCCTCTTCTCTTTCCTCCTTAGAGTGTGCCATTTCAGGGCAGTTATTGAATAGGAAACATAATTTGATAACAATACACAGAAAACTTGTGAGGCGGGAACACTAATAATTGATATCAGGAGCAATCTGTTTAGCCATCCTTGTTAATTATTCGTATCAGCAGAATCCAGGCAGAGAGAGTGTGTTTCATGCATTATTGATATATAGGTAATTGGGAGGACAGACAGATGGGGGGGGAGAAGGCTTGTGGCTCCTCTTCCCAGTGTGTTGGTTCACATCAGAAGACATTCTTCAACTGAAGATTAAAGCCAAAGTCAAGGACAACTTTTTGGAAGCGGCTAAAAGGGGAGGACATGAGTGGCAGAGATGCATGCTTATTTCCAGGGTTGTGGTCTTAGAAAAAACTGGTTGGGGGAACACAAACTTCTTTTTGTAGATGTAATGGTATGTGAGAATGACCTTGGGAGACAGAAGGGAGAGCGGCAGATTGGACAACTGGTGTGTAAAAGATGTCTCAGTCCACAGAAGATGGGATGGCATGGGAAATGTTTCAGAAGGGACCTTCCCTAGTTTTCTGGAGAATAAAAGGAAAGGAGGGGAGAAATACTTTCAGTCTTGCAAGATTCTGTAATGTAACCTTACAAAAGAGTTAATATTCATAGTTGTGCTTCTTGTCTGGATTACCTTGCAGGGCTAACATCAGCCCACTCCTGTTGCTATGTGGATGAGCCCTTAGTGACAACTTTTGCAGACTAATTTGTAAGATCAAAGATTCTCTGAATTGCAACAACAGACCACAATGAGAAGAAAAGCCATTGTATTTGTTGTTCATTTCAGAAAAGACACACCTAAATGGCTGTGTTCAAAATTAGTTTAAGACTCACTCATTGCAACAGAACAAAAGCACAACTCTATTTGGATTAGGAGAGGATGCAAAATTACTACATAGTCTGTCCTCTAAAACAGACTATGCTAAGACTACTTTAATGAAGTAGTCTAAATAATGACTAAATAATATAAATATTAATACAGAACATAAGAACTGACTTCAACTTTTTGTTCCAAAGTAAGAATTTTACAAATCACAATTAAACCCAAGTTAACAGTTTCATAAGCACAGAATTCCTTAATTATTATAACTCTCAAGATTTTACAGATTGTTATGACATCCTTTAAATTGACAATACTTCTAGCTTATGTTTTTATAATTTTCCTGGAATTGGTACTAATAGTGATAAACTATTACTCTTCTGATTCATTCATAACTGAGTGCTAATGTTCCTCTAGGAAATTCAGTAGTTTGGGATCCAAAAAATGGACCTCTGACAAGCAGACAACAAAGGTTGTTTTGTAAGTTAAACAAAATCACTATTTCAGAAGCTACCCATTACAGTACTGGGAAAGTTCTTACATGTGCAGTTGCAGATCAGTGGCTACTTTTCCACTCATTATTTTTGGATTCAAACCAGTGTGATGAAATCAGCTGGTGCACCTATTTTAACACAGCTAGACAAATAGAAGAATCTGAATAGACTTGTTTTTCAAACTCTAGATAAGCCTTAACTAATGCTTCAAAGTTATCTTCTCTACTCTGCTCAGATGTGTCTCTTTTCTATCCTCATTCAGTAATAGATTCCTCAGAACTTCAGCTCACCTACCTGAAGAAGGTGTGCTGTTCTACACAGCATTTCCACAAATGCTTGCATGCAGTTTTGCTGTGTGCTTCAAAAAAGAAGGAAGTTTCATTACACTGAAATAAAAAGAATAATACTATTATGGATTATTCTGATATAAAGGATTTGCACATGATAACCTGAGCACATAAATGCCAAACACACTTTTTATGTCTAGCCATCTAGATCAAGAACACCATTTGTGATAATGGAGAATTTCAGTGAAGTTATGCTTACTGATACAATGTAGAACTCCGATCACTTTACCTCAGGAGATCAGCCAATGCTTCAAGTACTATTTTAATCATTTCGAATGTTGGTGGGGCTTTTTTGTCTTTTTCTTTGGTTCATGAACTGGGAACCAAATATATGTATCAGAATTTCAAAGTGAACATACATTACTTTAGATACAAATTGATTTGCATGGTGTATCAAGATATAGGACTGACCTACAACAAAAGTAATGCCAAAATCAACTGAAGAATATATTAGCAAAAACCATCCTAAATACATGATTATCAAATATGAGATGTATATAGAAAATAATGCTATTGAAGAAAGTTTGTAGCTTTTTTCATGAAATCACTTTTATCAGCAAGTCCTAAAAATTTCTTTTTAAAAAGGAAATCCATGCACAAAAATACCAGCCTTTTAATGACATAGTCAATTTAATTAATTCATAGAAAATATAAGTGGAGTTAGAACACATTTAACTAGCAAAATAATGAAAACCTGCTATAGTTTATACAATATCTAAAATTTCAATAAAAATCATCTAGTTATAACAGAGTTAGACTGACTTTTAGAAGAAACTCTATACAACCCTACAAAACTGTAGTTTTTCGAGTTACACTTGCAGGCCATAACTTCCTTCTTAAATATCACCCTTCCAGCTGCACCAGTAAAAAAAAAAAAATCTTACTGGTGAAATATAAGATCACTGGGTACATCTGAAATACTATTTGGATCCTTGACATTATATACCAAGATATTCGAAATAGCAACTATATACAAACTTTGTCAAATAACAATTCACACAGTGAGAATAAAATACCTAACCCTCACTGTTTAATACAGATTTGACCCTTTTTAAAAACAACACAATGATCAGGAGTATCTTTGTTGAATCAGATAATTCTTTTACAGCTGATTTAGATTGTAGCGGGAAGCAGAATCACTTTGCAGTTTGAATTTTGTGCCATAACAAAGCTTTTTAAAATATGTAGTCAGATAAAAAACATACAGTTCTAAAAAAGTCATGTGTAATTTTTAAAACATAATTTTTGTGGTTCAAAAATTAATATCAAATTGTTTGATCTAAAAAGGATCAGAAAAAAATCAAACCTCTTGTAATCCCCAAACATACTATTTCTTCTCTGGTGTACATCAAGATTTAAAAGATAAACAAATTCACGTCAGAACATGGGATATTCTTTTCCTGTCAAGACATGTGAAACTACAGGTAGTCCTCACTTAACAACCACAATTGGGACCAAAATGTCGATTGTTGAGTGAAGCGGTCATTAAGTGAGATGCCCACGTGACTGCTCTGCTCAATGATCGCAATCTGGGCACTCCCGGTTGCAGTCATTAAGCAATCTCCCAGGTAGTTAAACAGACAGAGCAAAAGAACTGCCTGCTGAAACTGCGGAGCTGAAATCCTCCTGGCAGGCAGCCCTTTTGCTCTCAAACATTCCTGCAGCCTGCCGAAGGGTTCCCCTCCCTTCCGGGCATGGAGGGGAAATCCTTCCGTGGGCTGCAGGAACAGAGCTGAAATCTTTAGGATTTGAGTTCTGTTCCTGCAGCCGCAGAAGGATTTCAGCTCTTCTCCATCCCCTCCACCTGCAACCCTCCCTGCCAACTTCCCCACTGACTTTCTGGGGAAACCGGCAGAGAAGACTGCAAATGGCGATCCCATGATCACTGGGGGCTTGGCAACTGGTCGTAAATGCAAGCTGGTTGCCAAGTGCCTGAAATGTGGTCAAGTGACCGCAAGGTGGAGGGGGCACTATGTTTTACAATGGCTGGAAGTGCTTTACGGCCTGTAAAGCACCCTTTCCAAGGGCATTGTAACTTTGAACAGTCATTAAAAAACTGATTGTAAATCGAGGACTACCTGTATCAATATTATGAAAACGGTGCTGAAGCCTTTGGTCTTCAAGTATGATTCCAGCATAGCAGCCATGACTTTCAGTGAAAACAGCGTCCCTGAAGTTTTAAAAAAATTCTAGCAAACAGAAAATACTCAGAAACAATGTTCTCTTTATCTCCTTGCATATGTTAAGTCAAATTCAACTCTAATTTGTAACTGGCTTTCCTAAAATGTAGTGCTCAGAACTGGAAGCAATATTCTAGGTAGGGTCTGATCAACACAGAACAGAGAAGAACGACTTCGCAGTAACCCTGACACTGTACTTTTGTTGATTTCAGCCTAGGATTGGATTTCTTTTTTTGTTGGGGGGGGGGGAAGCTGCATCACACTATTGGCACAGATTCAGCTTGTGATCCACCAAGAGACTCAAATCCGTTTCACATGTACTGGTGGATATTATGGATACTCCTTTCGTATGCCTTTGATTTTTCCTACTCAAATAAGGGACACCGTATTGAAATTTCATTTGGTGGATTCTGTCTGTTGTTCCAACTTGTCAAGATTCTCCTAAATTTTGAGACAAAATACTGATAGGTATTTAGTATTCTCCCTATCTTTTTACTGTCAACAAACTGGATATACATATTCTGTAATCCCTCATCAAAGTAATTTATAAATATATTGAACAGTACAGGGCCTAGAAATTGCCCTGTAGTATGCCACCTGACACCTTTTCCAGCTTACTGTGGAGTCACTGATGTACACTAACTGGGTACAATTGTTCAACCAGTTTTGTAATTATCTAATGATAGCATAGACTAGTCCACATTTGTTATATTTTTTACTAGAATTTCATGGAAAAAATTGTCATCAAAATCAATCCAAATAGATTTGGAAAACTGATCCAATGCTATTTGGACTCTCAAATCAATGTAGAAAATTGAATATTTTTGGATTTTCAAATAGATTCAGAAAAAGTACATGTGCACATGTACAAAAGTCCATGAAATCTCTAATTCAGTTTGAATCTTTCCAAATTGATTTGGAAGTGTACATTTTGATGGTTTGAATCATTCTGGAGTTTCAATTTGGAGATATGAATTGAACTGCTGAATTACCTTAAAAACAATATCCACAGTCTTACTATGTATATATCTTCTAACAGCAATGTTGAGAGACCTGATCACTCAGCAGCATTCCTTTAACATGTTCCTTTTGCAGAAAGAGGTGAGGAAACAGGGCCACTCCACTGAATATGCAGAAAAAAAAAATAGCTTAATGCTCCCTCCCTCAATGATATCAGGCTATAGCACAGAGAAAGATGGAAAACAAGGCCATACCACTGGCTCAGCTGAGATTCAAATGTTTGCTGTTCCTTCCTGGTGCTCTTTCTTTTCCAACTAGACATATTCTAATTCAGAAGTAATGCCTAAAGAAACTTCTTTCTTCTTGCTCCATTCCAAACTCTTTTTGTCCACGTATTTGAGTGTGTATATTCTGTTTTTTAGGTAGCAAGCCTGAGATTAAGGATTCTTTTTTTTAAGCAGATGTTTGTGTAAGGTTTTTGGCTGAACAGCAGATAAAATGCTTGAAATAAATCAACAGAACTTAGAAAACAATTTTTTTAAAAAAATAACATGTATGTACTACACATAATTTAGGAATGTGTTTTGCGATAATCTCTTAGACTAATTTCACTTTACACTTCAATTGGTAATTTATCAACAGCACATCTGTGATTGTTACTTTCTATCCCTCAGGACTGAATTTTAGAGAGTCCATCTACCCAAAGTGTTTTAGCTGGCATCAGTACCTGGCCGACCTCATTAGAAGGTAGTAAGGTTGAGCCTGGTAAATACTTGAATGAGAGAAAAACAGGGCTCCATGCTAGATTGGAAAGCTGAAGAAACATTCTGGAAGAAAGTCATGGCAAAACACTTCTGTACCACTTCTGGGGCTGCTTGCCACGCTGTGGCTCAGGGGCTTTTTGGCGTGCCACAGCTCTGGGACTACAAGAAGCCCAAGCCGCAGCACAGCACGAAGGAGACTTATGACCAATCTCTGAAGTTCCAGCCGTCACAGCACCCCCAAGGTCACATGATCATGATCTGGGCACTTGGCAACCATTTTGCACTTACAACAGTTGCAACATCCCATGGCCACGTGATTGCCATTTGCGACCTTCCTTGCCAGCTTCCAACAAGCAAAGTCAATGGGGAAACTGGCAGGGAAGGTTGTAACTTGCTCCATTAAGTTGAGCAGGAGCCAACCCGGGCCCCACCACACTATGTCTCAAAGGCCACTCATGCACCCTCCTCCGCCTGGCAAAAGCCACCCCCAGCCCCACCACACACCTTACCTACCTGCCTGCCTGCGAACCACCTGGGACTGGCTTAACGACCTGTGATCCTCACAACAGCAATGGGGAGTGCTGGGAGTGCTGTTGTTAACCGATGTGGTGACGACACACTTTACAACTGCATTGCTTAGCAATACAAATTTTGGTCCCAATTACCGTCATTAACCGAGGACTACCTGTAGTTATTTACAGGACAATCCTTTGCAGTTTTACTCATAACATAAATCTCACTATTATTAATTATATTCTGAAATTATTGGATTTACCACATATATGTAGTTGTCAAAATTATTGGATTTATATCCCATCTTTATTTTGTATTACTCAAGGCAGTGTAAATAGTCCTGCCTCCTGTTTTCCCCACAAAATTTAACCTGTGAGGTGGCTTGGGCTGAGACATAAGTCCTGGCTCAAAATCACCCAGCCAGCTTATTAATGCCTTTTCTTGTTTTCACACTTTTTTAAAAAGGTTGTCTGCTTGCTTAATACATTTGATTTAAAACTACAAAAATATAAACTTACATCTTTTCCCAAAACTCTAAGTTCAAAGTGAGCCTCTTTGAAATGGACCCTGGTAATTCTAGGCCTAAAATGTTAAAGAAAAGACAAAAAGCACATAAAGATAGGAGTGAATTTATTCAGGAAATATGAATGAATCAGTCTAACTATGAAGTCTTAATAGACATTCCTTATTACCCTAGAAAAATATAGGGATGATCTAGTTCAATTCTCTATAACAGATATATTAGAAATCGGTTCTTCTAAATTGGGGATAAGCATTCCATAGCCCAATGTGATACTAAGCTCCATTTTTACCAAGTTAATTGTTTTACTGCGTTATAAAATGCCATTAATACATTATATAGAATACAGATAATAGTGAATACAATGGTATTTATGCAATAGAAGCTAGAAATTGTTAACACTGTGATGATTCAGATAACCTAAGCTACATTTTTAACTGTCCCCTGAATCAGATGACCAAAATACAGTGGCAAAATTTCCAATTTCAGCAGCAATAGGTACTTTAAGCCTATTCTAGTTTTAAAGCAGCAATTTTCAATGAATTTCTACACTTCAAAATCCCCACGAACTGCCATGGGCTGAAAATTTTGGTCTCACCCTGTATCAACTGCAATGTTCCTGAAGTACTTGAAAAGCCAAACAAAACTTTCTAATGAAAATGTTTATTTTTGACACAGCTTCCCTTCTCTCTAATTAATACTAAGCATGGAAGAAAGCAAGAGTAAACCATGTATATGTATTTGTCAAAACGTAAATGGATGTATCCATGTAATCACCAGGACTCACTTCTTAGTCAAAGGGACTTCACCTTTATCAATTTGAGGAAAAATATTTACTTGGACCACTAAGTAGATGGAAAAGAAGGAAGAAAGTTTGCATATGCATTGTTGCCTACCATCCATTATTGATATGGACTTTGGTAATTTTACTTACCAAAAATACTTTCCTACTTGCTTTTTATTCTTATAGACAACTACTCCTATAGGCTTCAGTCCTAGAAAATACTCAGATTTGTTTTCACCCTGGAAAATAATGTTAAATTAAGTTAGTTATATTTGTTAATGTGATTCTTTTTTCAAAAAAAAAACTCCATGCATCACTGTATAAAAAGATATAAAGAAGAACATTTTCTAAGCAGGTTCTGTCATAATAGTTGCAAAAGAAATTCCATTGTCAATATTAAATAAACTTCCACTCCCTGCCTCCACTTAGCTCTGAGCCTACTAATTATCTATTATTTCCTGTTACTTTGAACTTCTTAAGAACCTTACTCAGATTCTGTGTTACTTTTATTATTTCTTGCCTGAACGTATTTCTTGTATGTAAACTCCTTTTATCTTCTAATGACACTTAGAATAAATCCCTCAGATTTGTAATCATATACTTTTTATAATAGTTAATTGCCTTTTGTATGACAATGCAACCACAATCTTTCACAGACAGCCCCATAATCCATGCTTATCCCAAGTATGAATTTCTGTGGATTTAAATTTGTCTTTGAAGAAAGTATCTTGTTCTAGAATAACATAATTACCACTTTGCGATAGGTAATCAAGGATTCCTGATATTGTCCAGGATCCAGAGAATTGTACAGTATAGTCTACACGCCTAATGGGATAAGCCTCCTAAACTTCTGCTAAACTGCTTTTGGAATGGAAGAAAGTGCAAATAAGTTTGTGGTTCAGCACTAGAATTTGCTTTTCAAAGAAAATAACTCAACAGACTCACTAACATGTAGTTTGGGAAGTATTCAGCCTCTTCAGATTCTTTGAAAGTTTGCATATCTTTTTCATGAAATGTTATCAGAGCTTCACATGGCCCTACTGACTCAGGGACTCTGAGTGAACAAATAACACCAAAGTTTATTGACTGTCTCATTTATTTTATAAACAAAGTCATTCAGCATAATGAATGCCCAATGGGAACAAGGAACAGTCCCTTTAAATTTGGTAACTAGTCACAGGTAGTGCTCAGTTAATGACCACTCATTCAGCGACAGTTCAAAGTTACAACAGCGCTGAACGAATAGTAGTTATGGCCAGTCATTGAAGTTATGGCTGTTGCAGCACCCCCCCAGTCATGTGATCAAAATTCGGGCACTTGGCAACCCGTCCGCATTTACAACCACAGCGTGATCTTCAACTCCCCCCACCTGCCTATCTCCCCCCCCACCTCTGCCCTTTGGGCCACCAGGCACTCCACTGCCTACCCCTACTGTCCCCCACTGATCTTTGCCATCTTCTTCCTCCCACTGCTGACAAGGCACATCTGGCCAAGGCAGCTGCTAGCCCTTCACACAGCTTCGCACAGCCTCCCCGGTAAGATTGCGCTATGCAAACAGCTTTTAGTACTGGAGGTTGAGTCATGGCAACTGGACTTTTCTTTTGGTTTGATACATTTCACTGCTTGTCCAAGCAGCTTCTTCAGTTTAGAAAGTTGGTTATCTAGTTGTAATGTCATCAGGACCTTACACCACAGGGCAGAAACCATCCCCACCTCCATAGATGCCAAAAAGAA